TACCTCTTCCTCTCTCTCTCTCTCCTGTCTTACTTTTGTTACCTTATCATAGATCTCCAGTAGGTTTGCGATGCAGGATTTCCTTCCCTAGAGCCGTTCTGGCTGTCATGTATGAGCCAATTCCTTTCTAGGTGCTCCACCACTCTTCTGATGATCTCCATAACTTTACATACTATACTTGTCAGCGACACAGGTCTGTAGTTTAGTGCTGCCTGTCTGTCTCATTTCTTAAAAATTGGGACTAGGTTTACTGTCTTCTATACCTCAAGCAGTTGCCCATTTTCAATGGATTTATATAAGATTGTTGTTAGAGGCGCACAAAGGGCAACTGCTCCTTCTCTCAGGACTCATGAGAGAGATGTTATCTGGGTCCACCGCCTTCTAGGTATCCAGTTTACCTAGCAGTTTCTTCACCTCCTCATAAGTTGTGTGTAGTATGTCCAGCACTTGCTGGTGCACCCGGTGAGAGATAGAGAGAGAGAGAGAGAGAGAGAGAGAGAGAGAGAGAGAGAGAGAGAGAGAGAGAGAGAGAGAGAGAGAAGGAGAGAGAGAGAGGGAGAGAGAGGAGAAGAGAGAGAGAGAGAGGAGAGAGGAGAGAGAGGGAGAGAGAGAGAGAGAGAGAGAGGAGAGAGAGAGAGAGAGAGAGAGAGAGGAAAGTTGTTGAAAAGTAAGAAAAGTTTATTGGCCAATGTAAATCGTTTTTATAGATCCAAGTTAATCTCTATTCCTTTGACAACTACTTAACAATTACTTCAATATTATAAGCATTCACTGCATTTTTTTTCTTTGTGATAATATTTTTATTTATAATAAATAAGTAATTCTATTATCGATTAGTACAAGAATATGTTTGAGAGATGCCACACCTTTCTGTTGAAAAAAAAAATACTATAAAGTACAGGAGTCCTGACACAACACCTACGAGTTTACTGCATTTATGATAAAGCTATGTTAAAATTCTCACTTTGAATAACCAATGATAGAAACATGAAGAACAGTGAGATGGTGACTTCCATTTTATGTAAATAACTTAATAATGAAACCCTACATTACTTCGCTCACGCTGAAGAGATGCCTATCTCAGCATAGATCTAAAAGAAGAGTTATGCTTGATACAAATTGCGAAGAGCCTACAACCATGAAGAAACAAGAGGTTTCACTGTAATAACATTCCCCTCTGATAAATCACGACACTTAGCGGAACGTTGTCTCAATCTATGTCTTAAGACCCAAGCAATTCGATGACGAACTCTAATGCAAGTTGCGCAATGACATCATTGTTCATCACAAATTCATCCTCAATTGCTGAGGGGCCTGGAATGATGAAGTCATAGAAACGTTGGGAAGCATTATTTTATCATTAGGGAGATATGAACGGAATGAAAAGAGAAGAAGAAAATAGAATCAGAAGAGGAAAGACCCATTCAAAGGCTTTTCCTTAAAACTGCAACACAAATTACGACCTCAAAAAAGTTAAGACGGTGTCCGAAGATGTATAAGATCTGTGAAACATTTATACACACACATACAGCACACAAACATAATAATAATAATGATAATAATAATAATAATAATAATAATAATAATAATAATAATAATAATAATAATAATAATAATAATAATAATAATAAAATAATAATAATATAATAATAATAATATAATAATAATAATAATAATAATAATAATAATAATAATAATAATAAAAAGAAGAAGAAGAAGAAGAAGAAGAAGAAGAAGAAGAAGAAGAAGAAGAAGAAGAAGAAGAAGAAGAAGAAGAAGAAGAAGAAGAAGAAGAAGAAGAAGAAGATAAAGAAAAATTAGAAAAATAAACAAGTAAAAAAAAAAACAGAAAATAATAAATATTTAAATAATATTCCTAGCACAACATTTGTGATAACATCTCTCTGTACAGTATTTGAGATTCTGTGTTAAAATGACTCTATGTTCCACTGCTTTAAAATCATCGTGACCCGCGCTCAGTAATTTGTAAGTTACATCCCTCTTACTTACTGGATGGTTCCTGCCATAAACGGAGTGCCCGGCTTGACTCGCAAGAGGTAGAATGATCATAGTCTGGCTCGGGTTTCGGCTGCATGTTAATCAGTTCATTATTTGCATGTAAAGTAAAGTTATTGAGTGGAAGTTCGATATATTTTGGGAGGAATTGAAATGAGAAAATTTTGAATATCGTATGATGTATTCTTCATTGAGGAAAATAATTAATGGAACTAATTAGTCATAAACAGAAAATATGCTCGAACAATATTTATTTGGTTATTAAAATCATCGTAAATCGTAGCTGAGTGAAACTGGAGTTGAAATTTTTCTGTGCCGCGACTGGAGTTTGTGCCCTGAATAATGGTTGTTTGTAACCTGATAGGTGTTTGCACAGTGAATGGTTCCTTTATGTGGCGTGAAAGGTATTTGCTCAGTGACTGTGGATTATTTTACCGTGAATGATGGTTCTTTGTTGCATTAGAGGTGTTTGCACCGTTAATAGCACTTGCTTGTGTAGCAGTGGTTCCCAAACATTGGTGCACGCACCTTCGGCGTACGGGAGCTGACATGCGAAGCACGTTAAAAAAATTCTTAATTAATGACCGAATTCGCAATTGAATATACATGTTTTAATCAGATTTCAAACATTCGCGAAATATCGTTAGGTGAGAACATTTTAATTTAAATAAGTACATTTCAGCGGGGTACGAAGGTAATTAATGTGCGTCATGAAGCGTGCAGTTGTAAACCCATTAGTTTGAGTGACAAAAGTGATGGGGAAGTCTGGAATATAGTTTGGAAGCGGTTTAGTGCCCTGAATAGTCTACGAATCACTGGTACAGTGAATGGTATTTGTGTTGTAAATGATCGTGCAATGAATAATGTTGCTTCTGTTGCCTAAATAGCGCTTGTGTCATCACTGGTGTTTATGCCTTAGATCATATCTGTGCAGTGAACGGTCTGTATCGTGACTTGTGTTTGTGACGCTGAATTGTGTTTGTATTGTGAATTTTGTGTACCACGATTGGTGTCCTCCTGTGCAGTGAATGATGCTTTCATTGTTGCCTGAACATCATTTATTTGTGTTATTAATAGAGTTACTGACTTGAATAAAGCATGAAGAGAAAAGCAATAACAATTTAACGTAAGTTTCTTTTCAGGAAATGAGGAGTAGTTTGAACATTATGACATTATCAGGTGTAGTAATTAGGTGTAAAATTATAAAAAAATTCCCTTACGAATGCCAACAATATCCTTGCTTGATTTTGTATTCATTTCAAGGAACAATGACAAGCAAGCATGATATTGTACACCACAGCACTAACAGCGCTGGAGATGGCAGAAAGCGTTGCTGTTACTTGATGTTTCGTCGCTTTATTGGAAGCGCTTGATCAAAGGAAGTGAACCAGAGTAAGCAGCGAATGAAAAATGTGAAAGAAGCAGTGCATGACTGTTCGAGAGAAATCGAGAGGCAAGCATAGGAGACGAGATTTGATCCCCGCATCTACAACCAGAACTAGCCGTGGACTTGAACCCGTCTCATTTTAGCCCGCCTCATGGAGAGAGAAAATTCACGACGCTTTAACCCACGGGACCAGCCAATCCTACAAAGGTCACGCACCCAGCAGAGCTAGGTGTTTAACCGTGATTCGAGGATATAGCTCTGAGGCACCCACACCATCAAATGTCCTCGGATCATGGTAAAACACCTAGCTCTTCTCCAGGTCCAGGTCTTCTTGGTGCGTGATCTTCGTAGGATTGGGTGGTCCCGTGGGTTAGAGAGTCCTGAATTTTCTCTCTCCATGAGGCGGGCTAAAACGAAAAGGGTTCGAGTCCTCGGCTAGTCACAGTACTGTTGTTGATTAAATACTATTCGTTCGTGGTTACAATAATATATATACTGCTTGTGGAGGCTAGTACATCAAACGGGGAGCAGAATGAAATTAGCTCTGAGGCACCCACACCATCGTATGTCCTTTGATCATGGTAAAACATCTAGCTCTGCTGGGTGCGTGATCTTTGTAGGATTGGGTGGTCCCATGGGTTAGAGCGTCGTGAATTTTCTCTCTCCATGAGGTGAGCTAAAATGATACGGGTTCGGTTCATTGGCTAGTGGCAGTGCTTTTATTGATTAAATACCACTCGTTTGTGGTTACAATAATATATATACTTCGTACGTCAGGTAACAACCTGGTTAATCAGGCCCTGATCCACCAGGTATACTCCAGGAATACTGTTTGTGGAGGCTAGTACACCAAACGGGGAGTAGAATGAAATTAGCTCTGAGGCCCTCACACCATCGTATATCCTCGAGTCACGGTAAAACACCTAGCTCTGCTGGGTGCGTGATCTTTGTAGGATTGGGTGGTCCCGTGGGTTAGAAAGTCCTGAATATTCTCTCTCCATGAGGCGGGCTAAAACGACATTGGTTCGAGTCGTCGGCTAGTCACAGTGTTGTTACTGATATATATATATATATATATATATATATATATATATATATATATATATATATATATATATATATATATATATATATATATATATATATATATATATATATATATATATATATATATAAGTTCATTAATCGCTTAGACTTTTTTTATAATGACAAATTTAGGGAAATAAATGATTTGTTGGAAAGGGTAATGAATAACTATAACAAATACAAAAATACAATCAATAAAATGGAAGACAAATAGGGCACAATATTACGTTGACAATGGTGTATATATTTTCCCTATCAAGTGATGCCCGAATAACAATAACGTACATTTTGTTAAAGTGGAAGACATTTTAATAAACTTGTGAAAGAATAAACGTGGGATATTAAAATAGATAAGGAGAACTGTGCTGAGTTCTGTTACGTACATGACTACCTCCACATTATAGAATTGATTTGTCTGCAGAATAATATTGTTTCATCATTTTATTTATGCCCAAGTTGGTGGAAATTTCAGTAAAACACTAGGAAAGTCAAATAATTCTTTGAGGTTGTGTTGTTTAATCTTTTACTGAAATAAGTTTAAAAACAATAAATACGAGATAAATTATCAGACTGCAAGAGTTAGTGTGGAACACCGTAAACACGATTGGGAGAACTGACCGAGGGATAGTCAGCGCCTTCCTCTGATGAGCTAGTATCCTCAGCACGAGCAGCATCCTCTGCAGCAGCCTTGATAATCTGGTCAAGTACGAACTGAGGGATTGGGTGAGGGAACTCGGGAGCCACTGGCAGATGGTCAGAGTGAGGCTGGAATCCATTTTCGTCAGCTACGAACTTTACTTCAACCAGAGTTCCGTCAGGGGCAGTGTATCTGGAAAAAATATTTGTTTTATTTTACATCATTAAAAAATCATATCTCTTTTATATTTTGTGAAGAATATTAACAAAAAAGCAATCCGAACTACTTTCCACTTACGAGTACTTTCCAGCCTTAATTACCGCTCCAGAATCATCGTCTGGTAAGCCGGCTTGAGATATGCTAATGCCATTGCCAGTCTCAATTTCGAAGTTGAATTTTCCATCTTCATCATGGACTCGTTCGTCCCTCAGGATGGGCACCACCTCGTCCTCCCTGGATTCCTGATGCGGAGCTCTGTAGCTGTCTTGAGGGGCAGAGGCGGCCAAGGTAGCAAGGATAGCGATGATGGCCTAGATATAGAAAAAGTGTGTAGGTAAAATCATTTACCTTCCTTCTCATCTTTCATATATATATATATATATATATATATATATATTATATATATATATATATATATATATATATATATATATATATATATATATATATATATATATATATATATATATATGCAATCTTTTCCTACATATAAAAATTATTTGAAAATATAATGTACACAAAAGAATCATAACGCACGCATCACTATCAGAAGAGAAGTACTCACCAACTTCATGTTGTTTATATGAGGCAGGTACTGACGGACAACAACTCCCTCGCCTCTTATATAGTCCACCTCACAAGGTCTTTCTCTAACCATAACATGAACTTCCTGTATCCCTGATAAACACCGATGCATATCCTGTTTGTGTTTTCTCGATTTTTTTTTTTTTTGCTTTGTTGAACTTGACATATCTATGCTTATATGTTGGAAGCTAATACTATGTCAACTCTATCATTAACAAATTAAATGATTGTAGTGTTTAAAATTTTTCTCTTCGAACTCTCCTACTAATCCAGTTTTTATGTGTGCCCTCGTGTTCTGTCTACGATGTGCCCTTTCATTTGGTCTTCAGTGTACACTTATATCTAATCTTAAATGTACCGTCACATCTAATCTGCTTTGCACCCTTACATATGGTCTACCAAGCGCCCTTACATCTCGTCTGCCATGCGTCTGGTAAATGCGCATAGGATTCAGACAATTGAACTCGGGTAAGTTTTATTTTAATAATATTTAAGTGAAGGGGTTGAGGAACATCGTTAAGCCGGACTAGAATTCTGGAGGTGGGAAGTACAGACTGCATTCTGAAGAAGGGGTGCGGATACTGCAGTTTGGAGGGCCATTTAAGCTGTATTGTCGGCTCCTCTGATAAGGTGATGCAGTGAATGATGGTAAAAGCTTTTCTTCTTTTTCAGGTCACTCTACCTCTGCGAGAGACGGCTCGTGTGATAAAAGAATTGCATATTAGTGATAAAAAATAAATTAATAATAACAATAATAATAATAATAATAATAATAATAATAATAATAATAATAATTATTATTATTATTATTATTATATTATTGTGAATCACTATGGCAGTAAGGCTGTTGGTTACTGGTTGCATTGCTTATATTTTTTAATACCCCCATAACCTTGCTCTTTCCTATGTTTACTTTTAATTACCTTCTGTTACATTCCCTCTCAGAGTCGTTTATCAGCCTTTGCAACCTCTCTGCCAAATCTCCGAAAAGAACCGTTTCATCGGCAAAAGGCAACTGTGAAAAGTCTTTTTTCCTACCAGATTCCCTATCTTTCAATACCAAGCTTATCTCTAACACCCTAGCGTTAACTGCTTATACAATTGTATCTACAAACGTGCCAAACAACCATTATGACATTTCATATCTCTGTCTCAGGCCTATTTTTATTGGAAAATAGTCTCGTCTTTTTTCATTTTTTATTAATACATCGGCCGTTTCCACCAAGACAGGGTGACCAGAAAAAGAAGAAATATTTTCATCATCATTCACTCCATCACTGTCTTGCCAGAGGCGCGCCTACACTACAATTAAAAAACTGAAATGTATCAGTACCCCTCTAGGACTCAAGTCCGGCTAACCAATTTCTCTGAATCTCTTCACAGATATTATTTTCCTCAAACTCCAACAGCACGTCAATTCATAAAAACTATTCGTCTCCATTCTCTCCTATCTAATATGCTTACGCACACTTGTTAGAAGTCCAAGCCTCTCTCACACAAAACCTCCTTTACTCCCTCCAACCTTTCATAGAACGACCCCTATCCCGCCTTCCTTCCACTACAGATTTATATTCCCTCCAAGACATTCTATTTTGTTCCATCCTCTCTACCGTTAGATTCCTGTCAACACCCGAACATTCACTTCTCTTACAACCCCATCTATAAATATACTGAACAACTATAGTAACATCAAGCATTCCTGTCTAAGGCCTCTCTTCTACATACCTGAACCTCGCTATCCTCGTAAAAAGTCTTAACTACCTTTATTAACCTACCAACTGCAATATCTGCCTCCCTATCATGTACCTTTTCTAAATCCATAAGTGCAATGAAAAAAAATTACATCTATTCAGTTCTGCAGTGTTGACTTACGTGGTTCATTGTAAACACTTTGTCTTCACATCTCGTACCCTTTCTAATACCTCATAGATCATCTGCGATCCTGCTCTTTGTCTTACCCTTAATTCTTTCAGCAATAACTCTGCTATACACTTTACCCCATATACTCATGTGGCTTATTCTACTATAATTTTTTCACTCTTTTATACTTTTCCCCTTATACAATGGAACTATGAATGGTCCCTGTCAATCCTTATTTACCTTATCCCCACATCCCTTTTGTATACATTGAACAAATGAACAAACTACTCCTGCCTTAATGTTTCTGTCTCAGTCCTATCTATCCCAGCTGTTTTACCCAGTATCATTCTACCCACTGCCTTTCGCATCCTCCCAAAAAGTTTCACTTAACTCAGTGAACAAATTGATTCTCTCCATCAAGTCTAGATGGATGGTTAATGGAAACACTGTTACCAGGGTAGGAAAAAACTGGGCACCAACTGTGGCCCGTTCAAATGCGAATTGGTAGATGCGTACATGAGTGTAAAATTTAATAAAGAAAAAGCATCTTGTAACCAAGAGTGAAAATCTAGTAAGTCAGACTGTAAGATCGTCTGTGAAATTGGTAGTAAATAAATAAATGAGGAAGTAACTGGCAAGGGCAGCAGGCAGTGCATCTCCCCGGGTGATGACGGGCAAGGTTAAGGCCAGTTCAACTGAGCGAGCTGCGGAACAGGAATTACTTAAATCCCAACGGTGTTATTCACATTTTAGACACGCAACTCCATCCTGTGTATGTCTCTTCTATTATCTGTACAACGTAAGACACACTTCTCCCATCTATCACACTTTCGCTTTACACTCTTCGGACATCTCCAACTCTGGCCACTCACACATCAGCAACGTTGCAGGAGCTAACCTGCACATGAAGGGGTATGCTAGGGTTTTGTGTGGAAGCTACGAGACGTTTGCTGAATGACGAAGCCCTAACTGTAAGTACTTACTGTTCCCTTAATGAGTATTCCCCATATACTTTTAGTTGTGGAATGCATCACTGCAATTTCTTAATTTATTATTTCTTTCATTGCTCACTGTATTGTATGAGTATTGTTTATGATTAAGATAGGTTAGTAAAATCTTTCAATCAACAAGTGAGACTTTAATATTTATTCAACGCTTTAACGACAGAGAAGAATGGGGAGTGATGAGGTAATCTCGTTTCCTATGAATAACAAAACCCATTACACTATACAAAACTGAAGAGCGTTCTGAACATAAAAATCACATACTTACGTGGTTTATCACTGTAATCAACATGCATTAGGTCTGATATATTCGCGTAAATGTAACATAGATTATAAAAATTTCTTGCAACAATATTTATTTTTCGTTTATTGAATTTATGTGACTAAGTGTGACTTGGCCACTGCTGTATCTGGTTCAGTGCATAGAGCTAAGGATCTTCAGCGACAGGGAGTTAATTTTAAAGAAGATCATGTTTAAGAGGAAGCCTGGAGGTTAAAAATAAAATAGCAGACTAATGGTATTATAACTTTTTTCATTATAGTAATGTAGAGAGAGAGGGTTCTGAGAGCCAGGAAAGAATGTGGTTTTTATGTACTAATGTAATAATAATGCTTGGTAGACCAGATTGCAACACACCAGCTATAACAAGGCAAGAGTCTAGATGTAATAATGTTTAGCAGACCAAATGGAATAATAACTGACAGATCACGTGTAAGGGTGCAGCAAACCATATGTAATAATACATGACAGACCAGAGGTAAGGGTGCGAAGCAGACCAGATGTGAGGGTGTAACACACACCAGATGCAAGGGTGGAGCAGACCGTAAGAAGAGACGCATACCTACCTACGTGTGATTGCGCATGACAACCTAAATAATTGCAAGAGCACAAACAAAAACTTGACTTGAAGGAAGGAGCTCACAAAGGGAGACATGATAAGCATTACATAAATTAAATTTGCTGCTGATAGTCAAAACAGATACAATGTTAATATCTGACATGTATATGTGTGTCAAGTTTATTAGAGCAAAACACGAGAGAAAACACAAATAGGACATGCAGTTTTCTTTATCAGTGACACAAGAAATCATATATTGTCAAGAAATGACCTTCTGATGTTGTCTTTATAAGAGATGAAGTAGACGATGATCGTCATCAATTGCCCCAACTAAGCAACATGAAGTTGATGAGTACTTGCCTTCAAATATTACTATGTGCCTTATGTTTTTCATTTATGTATATATATCTTCCCATTTAAATGGTAAAATAATTTATGCTGTACGCTATTTTGTTCTCTCGTTTTACATTTGGGTTCATCATCGCACTCCTTGCCACCTAGGTTGCCTCTGTTAGTCAGGATAGCTACAGATTGCCAGGTCAATAATCCAGCGAGGACTAAGGTCATCGGGCCCACGAGGAAGACGGAATCTTCAATTTCGGAAATGAGACTAGCA